AGCAGCAACACGTGCCCAAATGTCCTGAGTCTTCGAGAACTTCTGGATCTGCTTCAGTAATGCAACAGCCTCCCTTTCTAATTCCCCAAGTGAAGAGAAAGAGAAAGGAAGGAAGCTATATCCAATTGCTCGACAACTGGATTCGTACTTGACTCGCTTCCAATGGGCCGCATTAGCCACAATTCGTCCAAGAACAAAGTCAGATAGCCCATACTGTGTCAAAGGAGAAGACCCTGTCAAGTCAACACAAACATTGCAACCAAGATCCTAGGAATAAATTAACACATCTGCAGGTTGAGGACCCCGTCGTTCCCTCTAGACAACCCAATGTCCACCTCCCCTTACTGTTCAATGATCGACACCGAAATCGTCCTCCGCAAAATTGCCTCACTATCCTAATTCCTCTTTATTCGGTTTAGTACTTCCATTTTCTAGGGTTTTTTTAGGGTTTTATACGATTTGATTGAATTAATTGGGTTTTTTTTCATTTGGCAGTAATAAGGTAGTAATATCAAGGATTGCACATGTTTTGAGCTTCTTCATTCTCGAAGGGCAAAGAGTCGTCGTCGCAGACATTAAATGGCGAGAAGACCTCCAGCTCTAGTAGCATTTCATCAATTACTACTACTGTATTGGGATTATTGAATTTCACTAGATTTTGTTGTCAAACTCTTGAGTTAGGCCTTTTGTTTTTGTTTCTTCACATTTATTTTCAATTGTTTGAGCTCATATATGATTTTTTGAATTTTTTTTCTTTTTTTTAATGTCAAATTCTGGATTTAGGGTTCTTGTTTATGTTATTTTATTTTAGGTTTCAGTTTCTTGAATTTGAGATGCTAATAAAATACAAAACAGGTCTGTTTAGGTCCAAACCTGGACCGGACCTTATTGTTCAAGTCTGACCCGGAACCGGACCTGTTGAATCAGGTCCGATCTCCGGCCCTCAAAATTCACTAATTCAGGTCCCGGTCCTAACAGGTCCGGTCCGGTTCTAGACCGGTGTACAGTCCTATAGAGAACACAATGGAACACCCAACCGGTAGCACAACACACATCGGTAAGTCTTGGCGTTTATCGTCGGCAGAGGTGTGGTCTCCCTACTTGTTATTATTGTTATTATTATTATTGTTATTATTATTATCATTATTATTATTATTATTATTATTATTATTATTATTATTATTATTATTATTATTATCATTATTGATTAGGGGATTTTTCCCTACCAATCATCATCTGACAAGTGGGCCTTTCAGGCCCTGCCACGTGTCCGCCACTTGGATCAATTGCAGCCTGCCACATGTCAGGTGTCGCCCAGTCCACCTTGGACCTCTTATGTCATGACACGTGGCTCCCCTATGCCAACTAGGCAAAAACGGCCACCTAGGCCCAATCCTTGGAAGAAGCCCAGTCAGCCCTAGGTTAACCTAAACCTAACATTTGGCACGCTTCCCAAGGTTATAAATACTCTAATTAATCCTCATAAAGCGGGATTATGCCAATTAATTACTCTCACCTAGAGAAAACACTGTACCTTTTCTCCGCATTAATTACTCCTAAAACAAGTGCTAACTTGACCGTCGGAGGCGGAGCTCCTACCACCCGGAGTCTCCGTTGTTTTGCAGGTACAGGCGCCCGGTTCCAGTCTCGGAGTTGTAACTCTCCCGCAAGACATCAGAAAACCCCGAAACATTTTGGCGCCGTCTGTGGGGAGAGTACTTTCGAGATGGCATCTAAGTCTGTACCGAATCCAGACGAGAGGCGTCCAGAGGACGACCCTCAAGTCTACTTAGTTCACGATACTGAGAATGAGGTTGAGGTTGAAGCACACACGGCCTCAGACGGGACCTTAAGGGCCCGACGCACCCGTCACACCGAAAGGAAAGAACGGGTAGATTACCAAGTTGGACCCAGCAATCCAGCCGGCTCAACGCCTTATCAACAACAGGCGGCCGAAGGATCTGCTCCTATTACACGGAACGAACTCATGACCTTCATGAGGGGGTTCAAGGGGGAGATCCAAGAATTGATCAGTAAGAAGACTCCTGCTCCCTCTAAGGAGCAGTCGGCCAGAAAACCTTCTCATTTAGGAAGAAGGAAGCCTGTTCAGGGTCGAGAGGCGACCCCCCACCCTAACTCTAGGAAGTGGGAGCTGCCTGTGATCAACTTAACAAAATATCGTTTTCCCTCACCGGGGAAGAGGAAGCCCATTCGTCATGTACAAGCGGATGGGTCAAAGAAAACATACTCAGATGCTCGGCTACTGCTAGAGCAGAAGAAGAATGACCGACTGTCAGAGTCGGCCTCCACTTTAGACTTCCAAGATAGTCTGCATTATACCTCTATGAGGCATACTCAATCAAACTATGAGAGTCATACAGGCGGTACCTCCCGTCGGTCTGGAGATTTCATAAAGAGCAGGCGGTACCAAACATGCCATACGTACCGCAACAACAATACTTCTTGCAGCCTCCTCTGTTTGGAGGACAGTCAGCAAAAAGTGTCCAACCTTTGGACTGGCAACTATGGTTGTTAAGACTTGGAGAACAGCCGTCCGCCTTCTCCAAGGAGATTACAGAGGCCGCCTAGCTGGCCAAAGTTAAGAATGTGTTAGTAGGCGCCTATGATGGCACTACTAACCCGGAAGATCACTTAATGGCGTTCACCAACCTAATGTACCTTCAAGGGTTGGATGATGCTACATGGTGCAAGTGTTTCCCAGCGACTCTCAAAGGAATCGCAGAATAATGGTTCGGCAACCTGCCGACTGGTTGTGTGAATAATTTCAGAACGCTTGCCTACTTGTTCACCTCCAACTTTGCTATGAACATCCCTGCAAAGAAGACTACTCTTGATTTAGGGACCATTCAGCAGGGTGAGAAGGAGGGACTCTGTTCCTACATCAGGCGGTTCAACCTGATGAGGATTCAGATACAAGGGCTGCCAGATGAGGTAGCCTATACTGATTTTTTCAGAGGTCTTAAGGATGGGTCGACTTTCAAGTTCGACCTGGTCCGGAAACGAGTTGCGACTCTTCAAGAAGCTTTGATTGAAGCTGAAGCCTATATACAGGCGACTGATCTCTGTAGTACTGGAAAGCAGTCGGATGGACGGAGGTCTGACAAAAAAGAAAGCCGACCAAAGCAGTCGGCCAATAAAGATGAGAAAAAGAGGAAAGAGGTCTGGGACGCCGACTCCTCTAAACAGCCGGCCTAGAAAAAGAAGAAAGAGTTCAAATCATACTCTCCGAAGTATGCGTTCAACAAGGATAGCCAAGCTATCCTCAAAGAAATCAAGAGCCGGATCTCAATCGAGAAGCCGGCCCCCATGAAAAGTTTTGCAAGCAATCGGAACCAGGACAAATTCTGTCATTATCATGAAGACGTTGGTCATGAAACCAACGAATGTATCAGCCTCATGTGTTACCTGGACCGCCTGGCTGAACAAGGCGATCTTGACTCCTATGTCAAGAAGTCCAAGGGGAACACTTCCTCAAAGAATAAGCAGTCGGCCAAAAAGAATCATCAGTCGGCCGATAGTTCTGACACTGATGACGCAATCGTCTACACCATAGCAGGCGGCTTCTCAGGTGGAGGCCCCACTATCAGAGGCACCAAAGACAATATCAGGCGGCTAGATGTTAATTCCGTTCACCAAGAACGGACCGCCAAGAGTTCATTCCCAGAGATTATTATCACCAAAGAAGATCTGGGAGGAGTTAAGGGGTTGCATGATGACCCCATTGTCATTGAGTGCAAGGTGGCCAACCAAAGAGTTGGCCGGATCCTCATAGATACCAGTAGCTCCTCTGATCTCATTAGTAGCAAGTGCTTGGCAAAGCTTAAGTACAAGACTGATTGCATACATCCGGTATCCCACCCTTTAGTAGGGTTTGGAGGAGGAGTCGTACACCCAGTAGGGCGAGTGGATCTAGGGGTGTACACCGGTCCAAAATCGGACCGGACCTGGACCGGACCTGTTTGGACCGGGGACCTGAATTGGGTAATTATGAGGACCGGGGACCGGACCTGAATTAACAGGTCCGGTTCCGGGCTAGACCTGAAAAATCAGGTCCGGTCCAGGTTTGGACCTGAATGGACCTGTTTTGTGATTTTTTTCGTTTTTTTTTATTTTTTTTAATAAAAAAACTTGTTGGACCTGCATATGGACCTGCGTATGGACCTGTTTTGTGATTTTTAGACCTGTTGCATAATTAAATAATTACATACAAACCAAAATTATTAATCACAAAAGTACAAAACTACATAAAGTCTATAAAAGTATAAAGTCCCAATTCTCAAACACCAAAAATACCAAAAAAAAAACATAAATTCGATATGAAGTACTTTTGGCTATCTGAAACACAGGAAACACTCTCTTATTATCCTTCATGCTGCGCCTATAACACTCTGCCATCTTGGAAGCCCTTTTCTTTTCTCCAGGTTTAAGATCCCGCCTATTCGATATGAAGTACTTTTGTTTCCACTCCATTGTCACGAACAAACTGTTTCCATCCATCTGTAAACACCAATGGCCTTTCATCATATGTACTCGAGAGTCTGATTTTCCATTTGTGTTTACTTGGCGCTATAAGTGTACACCACGGGGAGAGTTTCTCCTTGAAACACTCCATGAACTTCTGAGGAATATTCTGCAAGAAATGTTCACCAAAAAATTCAATCAAGTGAGCTAATATATATTAATAATATAAGTGCAGTTGCTTTCATAACACTCCATGAAGCATACCTGAATACAAATTCCTAGTTAAGCATCATCTTTGAGAATGAATGAATGGTTAATTGTTGTGTTTTAAAGCAGTTTTTAGGAGATCCAAAGACCTTTTTTTTTAAAATGCAAGATCATTAAAAAGTTGATCTTGTTAACATAAATTCCGGAAATTTTCATGACATCGTTAAGAGAAGTAAATAAACCAATTGAAAATATAAGCAAATAACTACGAGTATAGAAAATCATCTTGAATAGACACGGATATAGCACAAAACAAAGTAGGGAGGGTGTCTCTTTTTAAGGATGCTCAGTATTCATTTCAAGACGGTACAAGTTTCATTTGAGTAGGCAAAATTTAAGACAAAACCAACAACCTTAACCTAGGACCTGGGTTTTTCCTTCTTTTCCTTGAACAGAGCTAGAAGAGAGACACCAGCAACCTTGACAACCTTAAATCGGACTCCAGGAATATCTCCCACAGCATGTCCTTTACGACCAAATCCAGCAATCAACACCTCATCCTGCACAAACCACATTTTCTTAGTATGGAAGGAAAAACAGAGCTAGATAATATCAATTTCAAAGTCAAATACAATATAATCAGGTAACAAATATTAGACAAAATTCCACAAACTTCTGCATGATCCACATTTTCAGCATGAATCTACACCCAAACACAACATTAAACTACATACATATAACAGAAGACCTTGACTTCTTTTACCAATCAGGTAAGTTCTTTAGTAAAAGGGAACAGTTTATCGTTCTTTGATAAGAAGTATGAATTAGCATTATCTTAGAACAGCTTTTTCCAGATGATTTGCTCATGAAAGGATAAAAAACCAACAGTGTATGACTGATCTTAATTGCTCAAGCTATATACTCTCCATCGCAATACTGTTATGATAGTCTTAAACCACAAAAATAAAGCTGCACATGTACTGAACAGGAGTGGGTGCAGGAGTACTGACAGAAGAATCAGATAAACCAGCACAGAAAGAGTGCGCACTATCATGTTTTATATGTTTCTGGATAAACTGTTATCAAGAGTTTATGATATGAGTATAAGAAAAGCATTGTTACTAATGTTAAACCTTCAGTAATCAGATGCCAGTATTTCTCCAAAAAATCCACGACAGAATTGACATTATTTCTACAATGGTTAACAAATAACTGGAGTTGTTTAGACTTTAAGAGTTTCTACAAAGGTTAACAAATAATTGGAGTTGTTTAAACTTTAACAAACAACATTATTTCTAACACGGTTAACAAATGACAGTTAACAAACTGCTAGTGTATCACTAAGTTTGTGTCGAAAGGCACAAAATACCAGCAAATTCACAACCAAGCAATTTATGAAACAGTAAGTGCATATATGCTTGCAGACATTAATAGAACGGACTTACATTTTCCTCAATGAAGTTCAAACAACCATCATTGGGCACGAAAGCAGCAATCTTTTTTCCATTCTTAATCAACTGCACACGAGCACACTTTCTGATAGCAGAGTTGGGCATTTTTCTGCAATGATAAGTTTATGCAACAACGCTTATATAATGACTAATAACATAGAATTTATGCATCTGAATGCATAAAATCAACTATTCAATTTGAAGCCATGCCAAAGGTCAATGCAAAGTACTAGATAAACACTAGACTACTAGATGTTTACAATCTAATCACTACTTTCTCTGCTTTTTTGATTTTATTAAACCCTAAAACCCTAAACTTTAAACTAAAAAAAACCAAAAAAATAAACATAAATTCGAAGATAAACCATACTTGTTATCAATTCTAAACATTAAACCCTAAAACCCTAAACTTTAAACTAAAAAAAACCAAAAAAAAAAAACATAAATTCGAAAGAAATTCGAAAATAAACCAAAAAAGAAAAAACATAAATTCGAAAACATTGAAGTAAAAAAAAAGAAATTCAACATGCAAACATCAAATAATCATTATAAGCAATTGAAACATGAATAAACATATAAATTCTAACATTTAATTCATTATTTAGAATACAAAATACCCAAACATAATTAGATAATTTAGATTTACATTAAAAAAAAAAATAACTTACCGGAGAAATGGAAAATCGCGCAGTAGCTGTCTCATGCGGTGGTCGGTGGGCGCCTGGGCTTCGCCTGAGAGAGTGAGGAAGGCAGGAGGTGTCGGCGGTGGGCGTTGCCGCGTTGGGCTGAGACTTGCGTGACTGCGTGAGGGAGAGGGGGAGACAGCCTGTTTGTTAGGGTTAGAATGAAATGAAAGAGAATTCAAGCGTCACTCAAGCTGTCAAGCAGCAGCGTTATTTTAATTTTTGATTTTTTTTTTTTTTTTTTTTTTTTAAAAAAATACAATTTTTCCGGGTTTCAGGTCCGGACCTGAAAACCCCGGGTTTAGACCGGGTCCGGACCGGAACCGGGAACCTTGATTTTTAAGGACCGGGACCGGACCTGAATCAACAGGTCCGGGTCAGGTCCGGTCCGGATCAGGTCGGTTCAGGTCCGGTTTCAGGTCCGGTCCAGTTTTTGTACACCCCTAAGTGGATCTACCCATCCGCCTGGGTGAGAAAGGGGAGGGCCGTCACATGGTGGTTCGGTTCTTGGTGGTTGAGGAACTCTCGGCCTATAACATGATCTTGGGACGACCTACCCTGAACAACTCTAAAGCTGTCATTATCCCCTCTCTTATGCTGCTCAAATTTGAGAAGGATGATGAAACAGTCGGCTCCCTAAGGGGAGATCAGAAGATGGCTCGAGAGTGCTACCTCTCGGATATCAAACCCACTGTGGTGGCTGCTGGCCCAAATGGTGAAAAAACTGACCTTGAACTTATCAAGCAGGCGGCAAGAAAAGAAAGGCTGCCCAATTGGGGGCCGAGAGAAAAGAAAAAAGATAGCAATCACTGGCAGAGGAGCGGTCGGATGAATTCTGCCCTCAGCCGGCTAGTGAGCATACGGATGTCGTGCTGGATGACTCACGTCCTGACCGAACAGTCAGGGTTGGGACGACTGCTCTTGAAATTTTGGGTGAAGATTTTCACCATCTTTTGACGGAATTCAAAGACATCTTTGCATTCGAAGTTCATGAAATACCAGGCATCAGTCCTGACCTGGCGGTACATAAATTGGCTGTGGATCCGAAAAAGAAGCCGGTAAGGCAAAAGAAGCGGAACCATGGTGAAGGAATAAGTCAGGCGGCAACCGCCGAGGTTAAAAAGCTGCTTGATGCAGGGTTCATTCGACAATGTTATTTCCCTGACTGGGTTGCAAATGTGGTACTAGTAAAGAAGCCGAATGGTACCTGGCGAATGTGTGTGGATTACACTGACTTGAACAAAGCGTGTCCCAAGGACAGCTATCCTCTGCCCAAAATCGACAGTCTAGTCAAAAGCCGGCCATGCTTTAATGAGCTTTATGGACGCCTACTCTGGCTTCCATCAGATTCCTCTGTGGAAGAAAGATCAGGAGAAGATGGTCTTCGTCACTGATCAAGGGTTATATTGTTACACGGTCATGCCGTTTGGTTTGAAAAATGCCTCGGCAACCTTCCAAAGAATGATAAACACGGTCTTTTTTAATCAAATTGGGAGGAATGTCGAGTCATACATAGATGATATGATTGTTAAGTCCAAGCTTCAGACAGACCATCTAGCGGACCTCCGAGAAACATTCACCACACTCAGGCGGCACCATGTCATGCTCAATCCCAAGAAATGTGTTTTTGGGGTTGAGTCTGGGAAGTTTCTCGGATTCCTCATCAATCAGAGAGGCATAGAGGCGAACCCTGAGAAAGTGCAGGCGGTCATTGACATGCAGTCGCCTCGCACAGTTCGAGAGGTTCAGAAGTTAACAGGTTGTCTGGCGGCCTTGGGAAGATTTCTCAGCCGGTCAGGCGACAAGTGCCTTTACTTTTTTCAGGCAATAAAGAAGAAGGCAAGGTTTGAATGGGGGCCAGATGCTAAGGCGGCCTTCCAAAAACTAAAAGTTCACTTGCATTCCTTGCCACGGCTGGTCAGTCCCTTGCCCAAAGAAGTGCTTTACATGTATCTGGCAGTATCTGACCATGCTCTAAGTGTCGTCCTCCTTGCTAAAAGAGACGGCTGCCAGCTCCCGGTCTACTTTGTCAGCCACGTGTTGAAAAATGTCGAGTTGAGGTACCCCTTAGTGGAGAAATTCGGTCTTGCTCTCTTCATGGCCGTTAGAAAATTGAAGCCTTACTTCTTGGCACATTCAATCGTCGTGTACACGGATCAACCAATCAAGCGGCCACTGACAACCATGGATTCGTCAGGCCGGATGATCAAATGGGCAATAGAGATTCAGAGCCTCGAGATCACATTCGATCCCAGAAAGGCAGTAAAGGGGCAAGCCTTTGCTGATTTTATTGTAGAGATGACTCGGCCCTCTAATTCTCAAATTCCAGGCCAAGTCTGGAAGGTCTATGTGGACGGGAGCTCCTCCTCAAATGGTTGTGGAGCAGGCGTCATATGTCAGTCGCCAGAGGGCAACAGGTATGAGTATGCTTTACGTTTCAACTTTCAAGCCTCAAACAATGAGGCAGAATATGAAGCTTTACTAGCCGGTATCCGCATGTGCAAGGCGACTGGGGCAAGAAAAATAGACGCCTGCTCTTACTCACAACTGATAGTGAGCCAGTATAATGGCGAGTACGAAGCAACCCATCCGGCCATGATCAAGTATTTGCAGGCGGTACGAAAAGCAGTCGGATCCCTTAAAGAGTTTCATCTGACCCAAGTACCAAGATCTGAAAACAATCAGGCGGATGCTCTCTCAAAATTAGCCTCCTCGGCCTCCTGTGATACTCCAAGAACCGTCTTTTGGGAAGTCATGGAAAAGAGAAGTATTGAAGAAGATCCTACTGGTGTTCTAGATCGAAGTTCTACCTGGATGGGCCCAATCAGAGCATATTTAACAGACGGCACCTTGCCGGATGATCATCACCAGGCGGCCTCACTGAAAAAGCGAGCGTCCAGTTTTGAGATGATAAAGGGGGAACTCCATAAGAGAGGGTACCTTCAACCGTTCTTGAAATGTGTTACCCCAGAAAAAGGACGAGAGGTCTTAGAAGATCTTCACTCTGGTTATTGCGCTTCCCATGTAAGCGGCAGGTCGCTTGCTCAACGAGCAAGGCGGTAGGGTTACTTCTGGCCTACCTTAGAAGTGGACGCAATGGAGATGGTGAAAAAATGTGACAAGTGTCAAAGGTTCGGCAAATTAATTCACCATCCGGCTACTAATCTCACTGCCATCCATAGCCCACTACCGTTTACTAAGTGGGGCATGGATATCCTGGGTCCCTATACGCCTGCTACAGGCGGCAGGAAGTACATACTTGTTGCAGTCAACTACTTTACCAAATGGGTAGAGGTAGAGGCTGTCAAGGGAATCAAGATGAAGGATGTGATTTCATTCATCTGGAAAAATGTCATCACTCGGTTTGGGGTGCCCATGTCTATGGTTTTTTATAATGGTCCCCAATTTGAGACGCCTGTTCTCAAAAATTGGTTGGGAGACCAAGGCATCTCGCACTGCTTTGCATCAGTCGGTCGTCCTCAAGCAAACGGTCAAGTAGAAGCTTTCAACAAAATCATCTCAGACGGCCTCAAGAAGAAGATTGAACGAGCGGGCGACCTATGGGCAGATGAACTACCACATGTTCTTTGGGCCATTAGGACGACTAAAAAAGGGTCGACTGGAGAAACTCCATTCCTCGTAGCTTATGGTGCAGAAGTTGTTCTTCTAATTGAGCACTATGAGCCGACTCTTCGAGTAATGCTGTATGACGAAGAGGCGAACTGGGAGTCCATGCGCCTGGCTTTGGACTCACTTCTAGAAAGAAGGGGCAATGCAGCCCTGCGCCATGAAATTTACCGCCTGAGAATGACAAGGTCATATAACAAAAGAGTGCATAGGCGTCCACTCAAAGTGGGTGACTTTGTGCTAAGAAAGATGGAAGCAGTCGGTAGGGCTAATGAGTCAGACAAGTTAACTCCCAACTGGGAAGGGTCCTACCGAATTTATGAAGAGGTTCGAGACGGTACATACTGCCTGGAAACACCTGACGGCCAACCCTTGCCTCGAACCTGGAATGTAGATAATCTCAAAAAGTATTATTTTTGAATGATGTAAATAGCCGAGAGCTACTAATAAAAGTTTGCTATTTCACTTCATCTATTTTGTACTAATAGGGGCATGCCTACTGGTAAAACAGTCGGCTACTCTCCATACTTTTCAAATACGCATTCAATAGAGAGGGGCATGCCGCCTGTGCCTATACAGCTGGCTACTCTCCCATACGTAGTTCACCAAGAACTACCTAAGGCCTATGGTCGAAATGATCAGACCAGGCGCCCAGGCAACTGATCCAACTTTTAAAAACTAATCCGACCTGTTCCAACATCATAGAAGGCGTCCGGCGGCATCCATTCGGATGAAATTCTTCGCAGAGAGCAGCTCCCTTTTAGGTGGAACATTGTTCTATAAACTAATTACACGGCACCTATACGACTGTCCACAAAGACAACCACGTAGTCGTTTTTGAGACAAGGATAACTCTATCACTGATCCAACGAGTGTTAGCAGTTAACATTCGCGTCGGATAACCGACTGTATTACTTGGGATAAGTACAGTCGGTACCTCTTGAGTTAATAGCCAACTAACATTGGCAAATCAAGGGGTCCAGCCAGCCTCCGCCGCCTGGTACCTCTACTACTCAAACAAAAGTGACGGCGACTAAGTAGCACCAATGTTAACTTATAGTCACTCCCTAAAATTTGGTTTGAAATCTAAAAGGTTTTTTAATAGACCGCCTGTTTCTTAGACAGGAGAATTCAAACCCCTATTCCTACTAGGTTATCGCATCTTGAGTAAATAACCAACAAAATTGGTGAATCAAGGGGACTAGCCGGCCTACGCCGCTTGGTGCCTCTACTACTCAAGCATAAACATGACGATTGAGTAACCTCAAAGATTACCTATAATCACCCTCATACTTAGCTAGGATTCAAAAGGTATGACGAGTCCGCCTGCCTAAAGGCGAACCAGAGCTTTCGTACCTCAACCCTGCTAAGGTGTTTTCTCTTCAAACCAAGCATGTTTGAAAAGTTGGTTCACAGGTCGACTGCTTTTCGGCAAGCAAGGACCAAAGAACTATTTCTATTTTCCTTTCTAACTTGTTTCAAATTAAGCAAACCTAAAGTATTCATCAAAATATGTTGGGGTTCGACTGGATAAATGGCCGACTGATCGCCTAACCTGGAACTAAGACAACCAGTCGTCCAGGGGCATAGGCAGCCCTCGTATTGTACCTGTTCGCAACTTTTGGTCATGCAAAACAGTCGGAATGACATATAAGTGGATATCAAGGATCCTCGACACTTAGCAAAAAATTCGAAAAAAACAAAGCAAAATTCAAAACCTGGATAAGTAAAGACGACCAAAAAGATGGTCGCCGAAATCATATAAACAGCCGGCCATAAAGACCGGCAAAATAGTTAGTACCTCGGCCCCCTGGCCGGGTAAAGAGATACAAGAATAAACGGCACGCAGGCCGAAGAAAAAAGTTGAAAATATTAAAGCTTAAGCATTTGGAGGGGCATCGGTATTCAAGGCCGCCTGATCGACATCAAATGTGGGCGCCTGGTCCTTCGCAGCACCCTTCTTAGTTGATTCGCCTTCAAGGGCCGAATCCTTGTTTACTTCCACCTGCAATGGGTCAATGGCGACCACCACCTCTTCCTCCTCGCTGACCGCCTGCGCCTCATCCGCCACAGCCACTGCCTCCATAATTCTTTGATTGTATTCTTTAGTACAAGCTTTGAACTTCTTCTCCCATGAGGCATAATTGGCTTTTGGGAAGAGGCGGGACCAGGTCATTTTCTGGATTTTGGCCAGGTCCTCCATCATAGACCTAACCAAATCCATCTTCTCAGTTTCGGCCTTGGCTGTCAGCTCCTTGGTGAGGGCCGCCTCCTAGACCTTCAGCTGTCCTTTGAGATTATCTATTGATTTCAGTAAAGACTCATTAAGGTGCGCAGTATGCTTGAGTGGCTCCAGCTGCTCTCGGAGGGTCTGGATGGTGGCCTATAGCTCCGTATTTTTCTTCTTGGCCGCCTCCAACTCAGTACGGACCGCCGAAGTGGCCTGCGCCTGATAATAAAGAATATCAGTTGTCAAAATTTCATTTTGGGCAATTTGAAACATTGTCTTGTCATAGTCAGAGGCGGTCATGGCTTTAACAGCCTTTACCTCTTTGTTCTTCGCACTAATTGGTTTGCGAAGGCCGTTTACTCGGAGCAGGGACTATAAAATAAAATAAGCGTCAGATACTTAGAACAAAAAGCAGGCGTCCCGATAAACAATGACAAATACAAAGCGTATCTCAGAAAGGAGACCCATTATACCATCAAGGTCCAGGGTACCGACTCCCCGGACCGCGTCCCTCTCCTCAAGAAGGACAACACTCACCATGGACTTGGCCATTTCGACCAAGTCCGGTCCCTGATGACCGCCTGTATCAAAAGGTGAAGCATCAGCAAGATGAAGTAAAGTGAAGAAATGAATCGGCAAACCAGGAAGCCGGATTGTACCTCTTGGGGGTCGGCTAGGGACTTGAGTAGTTTTACCCCCAGATTGGGGGGTGACCGGCTGCTTGTCAGCCGCCTGTTTCCTGGTCGAACCAGGCGTACTCCCACCTGTTAGTTTCCGAACCTTTGAGTTCGGTTGATGGGAGGAGGAGGGTTTAGAAGCGCCCAACTGCAAAAACAATGGGTGACTAATGTTAATAAACACAAATTAGAAGAAGATGAGGCTTGAAGGGTCCAAACTCACTTGGGGCGACTCCTTTGAAGAAGGTTCGGTGGAGGGCTTTGGACTGCCCATTACTGCGGCTCTTAGCATGGCAGCCGCCTTCCTGGAAGCAGTTATACTGTCCATAGCTTCCGCTGAAAAAATACAACCAAGAGTTAGAAAAGTTAAAGAGCAGATAAAACCACATCTACTTAAAAAAGAACAAGGTGCCGGCTACCTCTCGAGACCCGACTACTCAGGCCACAGGCGGCTAGGAAGTATTCATCATATAGCCACCTGAATTTGGGGATACAGTGTAAAGGCACCTGCTCCCGTTCCCCGCTAGCAGGGTTGAGTTGTGTTTTCACCTTGAAGAGCCCTCGGTCCAGGATCTCTTCCCTCGCTTTGCGAGGAACAAGCGGCATGGCAGCACCGCCTGCAAGGAGGGACGGATTCCTATTCCATCTGTTGTACCGCTTGTTTAACAGAGAATCAGAGGTTTGGATAAGATAGAAGGTGTTCCTCCAGTCCTTCCACTTATTTTCTTTCCCTCTTGTCATCAAAAAGCCCTTGTGGCTTGACAGTTGGTACCAGCCGGTACCGCTTGCTTTGGGGGTCTGACTCAAGTAGTTCATATGGGTGAACGCCTCAAAATTTGGCTCCACCCCGTGCATTTCACATCTGGCCACATAGATAAGGATGTTAAACCAAGAGTTAGGGGCTAGCTGCCATAACCCCACCTCGTACCCATCGAGGATTTTCTGAACAGCCGGATGCAAGGGAAATCGAAGCCCCGCCTTAATGGCTGCCTCATAGCAACCAAAGCAGGCGTCCCCATAACTGATCGTCTCAGGCCAGACAACCGCATCCTCAACATCCGGCACGAATAAATCAAAATCTGGACCCATCACAGGTCCGATAAAAAGGAGTCCAATTTTTCTTTCATGGCCTTGATGCGGCCCTTTGGGACTTGGCAGAAGTAAGTAGTGTTCAACTCCCTGTTAGAGGCGGATGGTTCTGACCATTCGTCTCCCTTTTCAACCGCATGAGAAAGTCTTGACTCGTGTAGTCGGGAGTGCCTCTCCTCTGAATTCAGGGAGTGATGGCTTGAGGAACTGGAGCTGGACTCACTATCAGAAGAGTCCGACTCCTCGTCTCTCTTAGAGGGGACCGACCCCTCTCCTTCTGTAGTGGTCAACTGTCGATTGGCTAAGTCAACTGTAAAATGGGTAGGGAACACCTTGGCTCCCTCCTTTGAGCTCCCAGCGACAGAGCCGCTTTGGTTGATTTCAGCATCAGGCGCCTGGTCAGATGTCTCGCTGACCGGCACATAAAAGGAGGAGCCATCAGAGTTGGTGATCCTGGCTGTTCTGTTAGTTCGAGCCATCGTGTTCTGCACAGACACAGAGACAGTCGGGCTATGTATAAAGGGCAAAGTTTGGTCCGAAAAGGGGCAGGCGACACTCCTAGTCCTAGATTCAGCCGTCCCCGGTGACCGACTGATTACTACCCTAGATTGTGCCGGGTGCTTTCGAGGTACCATAGTTCAAAAGAAATAAAAAAGAAAAGTAAGAGAATAGACGGTTACCTGAATAATTGAAGAAGTGATGTTGTAAATAGCAGAGATCTGAAAAATCAGCCGGCTTGACAAATCAGGCGGTAGGCTATTAATGTCCAAAATGTCAGAGCAAGTTCAGGGATCCGAGCGTTCTCTTTCAAAAGATTTCAAGTGTGAAAATAAACTTGAAGTCAACACGCCCTTATATAGGCAAAATGAGAAGTCGAAGGGTCACTTCCAAAAATTCAAAAATGAGCGGGAAAAACCTTCGACCATTCACCAAGCGACACCTGTAGCAGGCCGTCGCCTATTACAGGCCGACACCTGTCACAGGTGACATGTGAACAATCATGTGCCACCTGTGAGGGGCAAATGATTAGCGGATTTTTCCCTACCAATCATCATCTGACAAGTGGGCCTTTCAGGCCCTGCCACGTGTCCGCCACTTGGATCAATTGCAGCCTGCCACGTGTCAGGTGTCGCCCAGTCCACCTTGGACCTCTTATGTCACGACACGTGGCTCCCCTATGCCAACTAGGCAAAAACGGCCACCTAGGCCCAATCCTTGGAAGAAGCCCAGTCAACCCTAGGTTAACCTAAACCTAGCATTTGGCACGCTTCCCAAGGTTATAAATACTCTAATTAATCCTGGGATTACGCCAATTAATTACTCTCACCTAGAGAAAACACTCTACCTTTTCTCCGCATTAATTACTCCTAAAACAAGTACTAAATTGACCGTCGGAGGCGGAGCTCCTACCACCCGGAGTCTCCGTTGTTTTGCAGGTACATGTGCCCGGTTCCAATCTCGGAGTTGTAACTCTCCCGCAGGACATCAGAAAACCCCGAAACAATTATTATTATTATTATTATTTGATTTTTTTTAGATTTTTTACTCTTTTTATAACATTAAAAAATGTGTTAAATAATATAAAATATTAATTATTATCATTAAATATTAGTTATTATGATTAATTAATATTATATATTAATTATTATTATTATTATAAAATATTTATTAAGATTATCTATAAATATTAGTTATTGCTATTAATTATTATTTTTATGCAGGGCAGGATAGAGCAGGGCAGGGCAGGGCAGGGCAGAGCAGAGCAAAGCAAAGTAGTACAGTAGGGCAGGGCAGCTCAAAAGAACAGGGCTTTAGTGACCTCCACCCTTTCCCTTGGAAAATGGAGAGACGTACTTTTTAAAACAAATTTACTTTAAACCCATATGACGCCTGCCCTGTCTATTAATTGGACGATCATATAGAGGTCCACCCCATTTATTTATTAGACGGATATAACCCATTTATAACTATGACGGGTCATGGCTTTTAATAGGGCTCCAAGGCCTCCAACCCTACCTCTCTCTCAACGTCCTCCATTGAAGCGCAGTTCACGTTCTCCGTTGAATATAATTGTATCCCCCACTGAAGCAGCTTCTGAGGATTGAACTATGAAATTACACCAGAAGAAAAAGCTTAAAGTAACACTGCCTCCTGAACTTCCTCCTGAAATACCCGATGAAGATATCGTTGTTTCAGACGAAGATGTCAATTTCGTCGCTGAAAATCGTGCATATGCTGGTTTTGTTTCTCGTTTGGACACTAAATCCATTACCAAGTATGATTTTTTATAACTTTTCTTCAATTTTAATTTGCATTATTATTATTGTTTATTGTTTTTATTTTGGTATAATCTTGTGTTTTTAAGCTTATGTTTTGGTTATTTGGGTATTTTGTAAATGAAAATTTGATGGTTGTGTTGGGATTTCGGGTAGAGCTATCAAAAACCGAATAAATTCGATATGACACGACACACCCGGCCCGAACCCACCTGGATAATCGACTTGATTATCCCTTTCAAGTGTTAAATAGTATTGAGTGATAGAGTATATTGAAGAAATTTGTGGGTAATTAATTAATTAAAGTTGGTGAGCATGTTTAGTGGAGATAGTAATAGGAAGTAGCTATGTTTGTGATAATTGTATGTGTAGGTGGATATTTGGATGATTTCCTGGTTATGTTAATCTGTGTAGGCATGTTAATCGTGTTGCGAATGCCAAGGAAGATGAGCTGGAAGAACTCTTTGAGAGACGATTACGAAAGAAAAAGCTTGAGAATAAGGAAGAAAAGGGTATAGAGGTTAATCGTGTTGATGCGCTTCCGGTCAAGACCTTGGATGGGAAGCTTTATTATAAGACAGGTTTGTAATTAACATTTACGTTCTCGGAAATTTGTTCAGAGTGTTAGTTCTGTAGTAGTAATCATTATGCTAAAACATTTGCAGTTCCAAAGGAAGAAAGAAAGCTTGAAACTTCTGACAAAGAAGATGAAAGTGATGAAGATAAAGGTATTTTTAAATTAACTAAAGCAGAAAGGAGGGCAAAGTTGAAGAAAAAGAAGAAAGATGAAAAGAAGCAGGTGAAGGAACCAGCTAAGTCTGAGGAGGATACTAAGAATCCTCAGTCTGAGGTTTTGGTAAGTTTTTTTTCGTTTCTTTTTTATTTCTTTTCATGCTGTCAATTTGAGTGTGACTCTTTGATACTCAATTTTTTCAAGTTATAAAATGGTCACCACATGGTTGAGATAAAAATAAATGACCATAAATTCTCTCAGTTATGTTATTTGCACGCTCCAACGCATAACCAAATACAAAAATGCTAAGGCATTCAGATGATATCTGACTCTTTAAACCATGTACATCAAGCCGTAGGAGTAATTACAATCCTAAAGTGTTTAACACTGTACTGAGAGGAGCCTTTTTCGTGTTATTTTAAATAATATTCAATCATCTCTCTTTTCCATTTTAAGGTCTTTACTCTTGCGATAGATTCCTTGATGGAAGTGCATTACGTTCTTCCTTGATTGCATATAAAGTGGTATTTGCTTGAGTAGCATACTTATTTCCATACGTAGTTGTTAATGGGGCTGTGCATGTTTATGTCTTGATGATACAAAAAGTAAGAAAACTAATCACTTTCCCTATCACTTAATCCTATCCAGGTAATTTTTCGGAAGTCATTGTCATTACCTCTTGCTTGCTATTGATACATTCTTATCCTCCTATGCTCTTCGAAATAAAATAAGCATAGTAAGTAGCAATGTAGCAATGTGGGAAACACTTTTGCTCTGGGGCACTGACACACATTGAAACGAAACTGTACCCAACCAGGGTTGGATGTCTCCAACCCTGGTTTTGGATTGTATGGTTTGCTTTCATGCCTTTCTTATGAATGTTTTCAAGGCACAAGCTTCTGTACACTCTTAGTAGATTTTACAAAGTGTCCTGCACATATTGAATATTTTTATGTACCTAGTTAACTCCCTCATTGAAGACATTGACCAACCGTATATGTGTATTCATCTCTGCAAGAGGAATTGAAAATCTATTGTAACATGAATTTTCTTTGTTAGGGTGAGTTTGTATTCTTTCTCCAGAGTTATTTTTTTGCTACTTAATTATAACTGTTAATTATAGGCTGAGGTGAAAGAAGATCTCACTGCTGCAGAAGTAGCTGAAACTAAGCAACATAAAATTGCAGAGTTGGGTACTGCCTTGCTTGAAGATCCTGAGTCAAATATTAAGTCTCTGAAAGAGCTCCTAAGTTTCTGTAATGATGGAGATAAAGAAATTGCAAAGGCGGCATTGTTATCAACATTAGTTGTTTTTAGAGACATAATTCCTGGGTAAGAAACTGATTTAATATTCCTTTGCATCTCAACATGAGTCTGATGCTTTGATTCTTATACACGCTGGCTGTATGTTGCAGTTATCGCATTAGGCTTCCTACTGAGAAAGAGCAAGAGATGGTTATTTCTAAGGCTGTAAAGAAGATGCGGTTCTTTGAGTCAACACTTTTGTTCTCATACAAGGTTTGTTTTGTCTATGCAGTTGTTTGCTTGTATTATTTTAATTTAAAACTAAAACTAAAAATCAGAATGATAGGTTCCTTGCTCTCTGTGCATTGTTGACCAAATTAAATGAGGGAAATAGTTATACCAAACAGTTTGTCCATTATTATGGGCAATTTTACCAGCTCTAAATATATGCTTCCATCTGATTGACTGCCTGTTATGGCAGCCCTCTTACCATCAGAACAAGGCTAGCAGCGTTGTTTAATTTGTGATGCGGTTGGTCCTACCTTTATGCCCTTATTTTAATCTAATTTAAGCACATTGTTAAACGCTGTAAATGAACACTTGACCCGTCAGTACCTGTACTGCTTTACTCCTCTGACTTATGCTGATTTGACTGTCATTTATGTTTCTTGTCTGGCCGGCTTTTGGTTACTGTTTTTGTAGAGGTGTAGTGAATGTTCAAAACTTGATTTTCTTCTTTTATTTTTTTTGAGGAGTATGAGGACTTCTTGCTAGTTGGTAAGATCTGGTTACATGCTATTTGATGTTTAAAGAGGTTCTATACACTTAATGTTTTAGTTCAGTTATGTTGGAATCAAAGTGTCTCAGGCCTAAATCAAGAACAATACACACAAAGCAATGGAGGAACCTCTCATTCGAATTCAGTGCTCTCCGAACTGTGCGGGGTGTGTCGTGGCAATGTGGAACCACTGATTTGAAAGTGACAATTCGGTGATACTGGGGTGTTTGGATGTATTTGTCATTTTGTTCCTTGAGGTTAACTCACCTCTCTCACACAATGGCAATTCTAGGTTAGAGATTGGAGTCACATGAACTTATCCCTGAAATAGAAAAGAAAAAAGATGAAGAAATGTAGAAGATGAGTGATATTGTATGTTTCTTTCTTATGAAAAACACTGAATAAACAGGAGAAGAAGTGTATGATTTCTTTTATCACCAAATTTCTTAAGTAATGAAAGTAGAATAATTGTTATTGAACTCGAGAAATTCGGAAGGTTTCCAAAACCTCCAAAAAAAATCAGGAGATACTACTTGAAATATAACTCAAGAATAATGACAGGTTTTTAAACCTCCAAAAAATCAGAACTCCAAAAAATCGGGAGATAATAAACAGAATATGATGGAATAATACCCAATCAATGACATCAATCACGGCTATTAAGAATAACCATTGAAGGAGAAAAGCTTTTTGGAAAAAAAAAAGTGATCACTCACCTGATCACTTTTATTACCTATCAATCACAATAAAAGTGATTTTTTATGCGCCTAATAGGAGGTAAAGAACTTTGTAAATCCCAAAAACTTTTCCTTGCACGCCTAACAGGGTGAGCAACCAGCCTATAGTTTTTTCCATTTCCACAATCTCTCAACTTCTGGCCCTGATTGGGCCGCTTTGCCCTCAGGCAAGACCCAATTTCACCTTTAGCAAACTTTACTCCAACAAGTTTGGTTGACATTTGCATGGAGTTACATGAAGCTAATGTATTTTTCAGAATTTGTGATCCTTCCCACTGTAGCATAACATTTTCCCTTTACAAGCTGCCTTAATGTTGTCAACTATGTAGGTTGCATTGGATCATCTCAATCATCTGTCTCATAAAACTACAAATAGTTGCATTGCTTCCTTGCTTGCATTGGCTTGGGAGTATAATATTCTCTTCAAAGTTGGGAAAGATTTTGCTAACTATGTTAAGTTTAAAAAAGCTGCGAGTCACATACACATAGTCGGAAAAAAATGAAATAAATATAGAGAATAAAAGCTGACTGGCTTAGTGGTTACAAATATGAGAAATTAAAGACAGAGTTTGAAGGGAAGAGAATGTATTTGGATTTTATTAAGTGTTGGTATTCCTCAATGTATTGGATCGTTGATATTACAAACAATTGAGCGTGACAATAAATATTATAGGTAGAAATATTAGTGTTTTTATCTGTAGAATTTGTGAGAACCACCTAATAAAATACTCATTAAAAAATTTTACCTAGTAATTTTTTTCGTCAAAGACCTTTACGTGGTTAATCAACCCATTGGTACGAAAGTTAGCTCTCTTATACCATATTAATATGATATTTGTCAATGACATTTAAGTATAAAAGATGCATTGGAAACATTCAGACCTTGTTTTTATGGGAAATTCTAGATGATGACTATTGCTGATGGTGAAAATTTTATTCTGGGATTTTCCATTGTGATCTTGTGTTTTTGTTTAAAACAATTACATCACCTATATACCATATTCCCCTTTTATTTTTTTTTTGTTAAATAATGTTATGTTATTCTATTTTTCTAAGAAATTCTGGATGATGAACTGCAATCTTGCAAATTATTTCCTTTGGAATTCCCTCTTGCTCGTGTAACCACCAACTCTGTGTTTTTCCTTCCACCCCCTTTCTCTCTTTGTTGGACTCTCGATGATGCCACCACCCTTATCAATAGCAAGAATTAAAGATGGTATATGGTGGTTGGAGGTTAGGTTGGTTGGTTAGGCAGTGGTGCATTAGCAAGTAGAGAGTAAGGAGAAGAGAAACACTTTTTATTTTATTTTTTGTAAATAGATTTTATATGATACATTCATGGAAATATACGAGTCAGAAGTTTAGAGTCACCATGGAAAATAAAAGAAAAAGTTTCTACTCTGATCTAAAAGATGTCCAACTACCTATATTATTGCTTTGTAAAGGGCTGAAATAGGCCATGTTTCGCTCAAATTTAGAGAGATGAATCATAGAGGTGATAATCTCATGGATTATCGTATTTGATTAAACGCCTGCTTAAAATGCGCTCTCTCTCTCTCTGTCTCTCTCTCTCTCTCTCTTTCCTCTCTCCCTTCAAAAAATGCTCTCTTCAAAATTAGTTTTACTTAGTTATATTTTCAGATAACCTAGATTTCAGGTTATTAAATAAAGAATAAAAGGGGCTCAGATTATTTATCCAAGTTACTTTCAAAAAGTTTAAAAATCACAAAAGAGAGGTAGTTGTAGGATTTGACCTCTCCCATATACTTCAACTCCCTAATTTGACATACTTTAGTTGCATTCCATATTCATGAATTCGCTTTCTAAAGTAAGGCTAATTTGACGCATCAGCTAACTTATCATGAAATTGATCTGTCTAGTACATCCTTATATTACTTTAGCCTTCATGATGATTGAGAAGAGGATACTTAAGCTTTTCTTTTGTTTTCAGGCATACCTGCAGAGGCTATTTACCTTACAACCGCTCCCTGAGTTCAATCGTGTAGCTGTTCGTTGTCTCTGCACTTTATTAGATGCCCACCCGCATTTCAATTTTCGTCAGAACATAATACCAGCTGTTGTTAAGTGCCTGGCTTCTGCAGATGATGTTGTGAGGTTTGTTTTGCCCTTATCAATCTCTGGCTTTATGTATCTGCAGTCTGTTCTCATATGACCTTAGATAAGTTATATTGTCTGTTTCTGTTTCAATTTCATTTTCATTTTGAAATACTTGAGCTTCTTTTCCCATAAAAAGTGTGGGTTTAGCCTAAAATTATCATCACACTTTACCAACATAATTAATGATTAGATCATAATCATTGCATGTCAAGCATACATGATAGCGTGTACTTAAAAAAGTGCGGTATACATTGTGGTCTGCAAGGACAGTACATATGTAATGCAGTGGGCTTGGTTGAGTGGTTGAGGAGAGCTTAAAGAATTTGATGCCGTGACCTATAAGTCAATGATAAGTTGCAGCTCCCTTTATCGGCTACGGCGGGTTGTGTCCTATAAAATCAATGCTTCAATGTTTTTTGCTGGAGTATTACTTTATGTTTGGGCTGGAGCACGTAGGTTATTGTGTTGGATATCATCGATGGTTTGTGGAGTGATTTAATTTGGAAAGCAATGCTTAACACAGTAGTGATTTGATTTAGCCGGGTGTAGAATTGCCTGTCATTTTGGGTTTTCTTGTAAACTATGTATTTCAGTGTTAAACTTTCAATATCTCTGTTGTCTATGTTTTAAAGTGTTTTTTTTATGTAATAATTGAATATTCTACATGCTAAAGATAGGTGATTTTTTGGTCCTTAGTATGCTATGCTAAGAGAGATAAAATAATTATCATTATAAAAACTAACTTATCTTTCTATCTTGTCAATATTGTTATCAATTGAATTAAATTTATTCTTTTTAACTCACTTTAATCTCTTGAAGTATCTCTATTATTTACATGTATTTATGCTTAAGAGATTAGGCTTAAAAGGAATGAGGTGCGAAGGGCCTCTATAATCAAATGGGAACACAAAATTGTCATCGTTAAAAATTAGGCAAGCCAAAGGCTCAATGTTTCAATTTTTTTTTTCCCATTTTTGCCATCAAATAATAGTAGTAGTAGATTTTGGAGGAGTTACGGTTTGGGCTAGATAGGGTGGGGCTGCTGCTCGGTTACGAATTCCTGATATTGGTCGTTCAAATGTAATCCAAGGGCTCTTATTAGTTTATGATTAAAGTAATATTACCCATCTATATAAGGGTGAGTAAAACCTTATAAGCACAACTTTTGATGATTTATGAAATGTTGTGACTTCCTCGCCCTTATTGCATCTATGTGAGCTTTTATATTAGCGCAAAACAACTTTATCTATGTGATTAATCAATCTTTAGTCAAATTTTTTTGTGGAATTAGAGATTGACATCTTGTTCCCCTCTAACTTTGTGATAGTTGTGACAACTTTTTATTCCTTTTACTTGTTAATTTCCTTGGTTGTTCTAGAAAACCTAATAACCCAAAAATATCATCTAGAAAGGTGGAAAGTTTCTGAATGTGTGGTTGGATGAGGATTTTACATCACTTTTGCGTGTGTTATCTTCCTGAAGACTGATTAAGGTTTAGTTTGAAAATAAGGCATTTTGCTCATTTGCAAATTATTATTCTTCTATTGGTGTACTTGTGATTTTGCCTACTTTGAACTCTAATTTTTAGTTTTCATTAAGGATAATTTAATAGTTTTAGGTATGAGTATTTGTGTATATGTCGTGTTTTTAGGCTAAGATTCTTCTGGCATATGCTCTATTATGAGAAATAGGCCGTGTTGTATTTGATAAGTGCGAACAATATTCAATGAAATATTAAAAGCGAGAAAGCAATAAATAAGATAATCAAACAACACAAGGAAGTTTGGTCAACTAGACTAATTCCATAACACTATGTTTGGATAACTATAGTGAAGGGAAAGGGAGGGGAAGGAAAAAGAAGGAAGGGAGGGGAGGTGAGGGGAGGGAGAAGGTGAACTTCCATTTTCCTTCCAATCTTCTCCAACAATGGAGGGATTTGGTTTATTAAAAGGGGAAGAAAAATGATCCTCCCAATTCCCTCCCCTTCTCTCTTTGCATTAGATATCCAAACAAAGGATGATTCATCCTTCTTTTTCTCTTATCTTCCTTTCCTCCATTTCTCTCTATCTAAACATAGTGTAAGAACTTCTCTTCACCATAACGGAGAAAGAAGAAGAAAAATATACAAGGAGTTCTAATGGCTTAATGACTTAATTTAAATGTCACCCAATGATTTCTCTTATACCATCGGGAGCCCAAAATAAACCCTAATTTACTTGCTTCCTCCGTTCTTTAATCTCAACATTTGGAATTTCACGCTTGCCAATGCTTTAAGTTTAAATTTTTTCATATTTTGTAAGTACAAATTGAGATGAATCTAACAAAAAAAAAAACAAGTTCTCACACTACTATGCTTTATCCAACATATATATCACAAAAGACAATTAAAGGAGTGTGTAAATGTTGTAAATTCTCAAACATTGCGATTTAAAAAGAACGGAGGATGTATATTCCTAGTAGCCATGAAAGGTGAAATCTAAATTTAGGAAATATAATCAAGTCATGCTGCAAAACCGGTAACCCGCAAAATTAACGGAACACATGCAAGAACGTTAGCCTAAGCCCCTGCAGGCCCCTGATGCTGTGCACACAGCTCCTACTGTTGTGCATGCACTCCGTGCAGGGCTGCCTTCAGACACTTCGTTTCGCTACTGCTTCGATTTCTGCGCTCCAGCCTGTGTTCATGCATAAGTTCTGCGTGCGTGATTACTCGTTTACGAGTCACACTAACACTCTTTTTTATAGGGCTAATCTTTTTTGTGTCCTACTAATACGCTTCACTCTTTATATTTGCAGCTTTCCGAGGGGGGGGGGGGGAGGACAAGCTTTTAGGTGGGAGGGAGGGATCACTTCATGCATACTTTACACATGTATATGTGAAAGAAATCTGTAATCTAAGAACTAGATAGTTCAGGAGGGAGGGAGATTCTTCCCAAACAGGAAATTGTTGCAAGTTTTTAAAACGGTGGAAGTAATTCTTTTTCTATCTTCCCCGCTCTCCATTAAAAAATTTGACATGACCTTGTTGAGCAGCTGAGGGATATTGCTTCCTTTGCTATTGTAGCTCTCATCATTTTATATGATGGAAACTAGTTGATGTTTGTCTCATTGGCTGTTATATGCCTCATAATGTTATAGGAGTATAAATTATCAGGTTATTTATGAAATTATGAGTTGTAGGTTGCTTTTTCTTTTTGTTTATTTTTAATTTTTAATTTTTTTTTTACAGTATACATTGCTGGATTTTTAGCATTTTAGTCATACTTTAATTGCACATTTTGTTGGTGTTTACATGAATGACATTTAATCTGTCACAGGAAGTTCTGTTCTACTACAATCCAGTCTATTTTCAAAAATGAGGGGAAACATGGTGGAGAAGCAACTGTTGAGACCGTACAGCGGATTGCAGATCTTGTTAGAATTCATGATTGTCAATTGAACCCGGACTCTATAGAAGTAGGTGTCTTTTCACTTACATTGCCTTCTAGATGTTACTCGATTTTCGGGATATCTCTTATTTGCATGCATGTGTCTCGCTTCTTTGTTGTTCTGGTCTACCAATTCCTTTCTAACTAAACTGTATCACATGAGCTTGGGCTATTCGTGCATCTAGGTATTCTTGGCTTTGTCATTTGATGAAGATCTTGCAAGATCTAAAAAGGCAGATGATGATGAAAAGCGTAAAAGAAAGAAATTTAAGAAAGGAAAGAAGTCTGAGGAGCAAACTCAACCTACAGCCAGTGATAAGAAGAAAACTAAAAAGGAATTACTATCAAAGACGAGAGAGGAGGTGTTTGCTTATTGAAAACTATTCATCACATGCAAATTCTGTTGATTGATGTTTTGTTTTTTTGTCTCACTAAGTCTGAAATATGAACAGGTAAATGCTGATTTCAAGGCTGCTTCACTTGCCCAAGATGAAACAGAGCGAAGGAGAATGCAATCTCAGACGTTATCTGCTGTTTTTAATACATACTTCCGTGTTTTGAAGCACACAATACAGCCAGATACAATAAGGTGTGATTTTGTTTTGTCATCTTATTAACTTTGCTCCACTTTGGGCTCGGAGGAGAAGTTAATTAAACACTTGCTTCTACTTCTACACCCCTTTTTTATATAATTCGTATACATGTGTGCTCCTAAGTTGATATCTATAGAATTCTCTAATTGAACGGCCTAATTTTGAGATAGGTGGATGAAAAGGTTATAAGGAATAGGGTTAACGTGCTAGAACAGTTGTAGAGGGTCTTGGAGCTTATAAAAAACAGGATTTTGCCAAATTTAATGTCATGCAAATGCTTCCATACAACTGATACAAGTTGTTTATATTGATTGCAGATTGAATTCTTGTATTTTTTAGTTTAAATATAGTGTAACGAACCAAAACATGGTAACATAGCTCTTAACTTCTACTCCTTTGTTTGCACCAGAAGAAAAAAAAAAAAGCTTCTACTCCTTTGTTAGGATGGGACTGTAAGGTATTTGAGTAGAGAGAATGTGAGTTAACAAAGGAATTAGAATAGATAATATTGTTTTAATGTTACTTAGGCCTTAGAGGGCAACCGTGCAAGCATTGTGGTTTGTTTGTTTGTTTTTTTTTTCTTTTCTTTTCTTTTTCCTGCTTTGGTCTAGGTTTCAATGAATAGCAGCCTAGGTGCACCAAGGCACGCGCCTCCTGGTGGCACAACAGTTGTTTTACAGTTTTTTATATTCTTTATTATGTGTACCTCATTTGAGGCGCGACCAAGTAATAGCCAACTATTTATTACATTGTTTTGGCCTATTTATTTCACCTCATTATTATGTAGAGAAAGCGATTAATCATTAAAGGGAAAAAGGTTAGAATAAGAAGTTACCTATGTTACTAAGGCTCTGATTAGTTAATTTTAGTTTAACACCTACTACCTCCATTTCCATTTGAAATTACTAATAAAACACAAATTAGGAATTAGGATAGAAAGTGTTGATGTGGTGAGTAGGTGTAAGAAAAGTAGGTTAAAGTATGAGAGTGTATAAAAGTGGGGTGGCGTAGTAAATGTTAGGTTAATTTAGAGAGTAGGTGAAAATGTGTAATTATTGTAGGGTTAGAGGGGTAAGAGGGTAAATTGTGTTTGTCGAAAGTAGCTTAAACTCTAAAAGCAAGTGTTAAGAAATTGTGGCTCTCGCTCGAGTCGGGAAGTAAAGAAGACACAAAGGTGCTCTTCTAGATATTGTCCATAACGAAAAGTATTTAGGTCATTTAGAAACAGAGTTGGTATTTATATAGCATTAGATTAAATAAGTTTTAGATCTATTTGAAAAAGATATGTTTAGATCACACCAAATAAGACATAAACTTTGTTTACACTATTACATTTAGGCAAGAAATCGAACTTTTGGGGAGGAGAAAGAGTTTCTTAGAGACATTAGTATTATCATTTGGTTTGAGTGGATCATGTAGTGGGTAGGAATGGAGAGAAATTTCTTTGCCATTAAAAGAATAAAGCACAAATGGAAAGTTAAAAGGAAGGAAAGAAGGGAGTATTATAATTTATTTTTGATATTACTACTGTATACAAGTATACTATTTGCACAAATAATAAGATACATGAGAAAGGGTAAAAAGTTAGTTGGGGTTAACGTGTAAGAAAAAGATGGATGAAGTAAGATGGGTGTAAAGATGTAATTGAATTAAAAAAAAAAAGGATGGATAGAGTGTAAAGAGTGAGTAAAAATTCGTAAATGTTGTTAGGTAAGATGGTAAAAGGGCATACCCAAAATTGTATAAAGCACAATGTTAAGAATGTTGTGCAACTGGCTAAAATGGACAATGTTACGAACATGGTGATAAAGGAGGTAGTGTTAAGTGATATATCATGAATAACAATTTTAATTTGTATGTTTTTTTACTACCTCTGTTTCATATTATTTGCAACGATTTGACATAAAGTGTGAGTGGAAAGTATCTAATCGTTGCAAATAATATGTAACGGAGATAGTTTTTTTTTTTTTTTTTTTTTTAAACGGAAAGTAGCTATGATTGGTGTACTTTAGTTTGGGCAATTTTCATTTAAATTTTGGATAAACCATGCAACAAAGGCTTTTTTTTATTGCTCAATTTGGAGTGCTTTGAAGAGCAATGAACAAAAAATGAGTATGGATGTATCATGTTCATATGAATGTAAATTGGACATTTAACCTCTTGTTGTGTTTAGATATATGTAACTTTTTTCATTTTGTCCTTAAAATTATTTTACGTTGTTTATAATTGCTAATACATTTTCATTTTGGAGTGGGTTTCAATTTGTTTTTAAAGATAATTCAAATCTATGTAGTTCTCAATCTATTTGTAATTACTCGCAACTCTTTTGTTTGCACCTAATTTTATGGAGGCTTGTGGATCATACATGGAATTGAATAACATAGTGTGCAATTAAAGTTGATGGAGATAATTGTATGAGAGAGAGAAACAATACAAAATTAGTACAGCTGGAGTTAGTGAGAGAGGGATATAGTATTACAATAATAATGGCCCCATGCCAAATTAAGGTATAATTGTTTCCATTACAATTGCATCCTACCAAAATAAATGTATCAGATGCAAATAGTATATTTAGGATTTGTACAATTGTCTACGCAGTTAATTGTTGGGTATGTTCAGATTAGTGTACGAAGTGGTTTAGTTCAAACATTTTTTTTGGACCACCATAGTTGGGTATGCCTATAACTTCATTAGTAATACTTTCTCTGTTGTAGTAATATTGCAACAACGGAACTTTTGCACTATTCATCATGCTTGTTTGACCACAAAATTATGATTTATACGTAAAGTAAAATATAGTTATGTGGGGTCTTGTTAGATTCGTCTCGTAAAATACTTTCACAATATCAACTTTTTATAATTTTTACTCCTATATAATTATAGATATTTAACATATAAAATGTGCTTTGGGATGCGTAATTTCATCCTTGTTGCAATATTTGTGGATCAAAGGAAGTATGCTTATTAAATGGTGTGTGAAGACAAAACACAGGATTTATACTTATTTCTTGTTTCATGTTAACAGTCCTCTAAATCAACATAGTACTACATTTTTATCATATACCCAGTGTATAAAAAGGTGCGCTGAGGCGCTAGTGATAAGGGTAGAGAGCCTTTTTTGCTCTATGCAAGGCGCATTCAAAGAGGTGCACTTGAGTCACATTAAGGTGCACTTGAGGCGCACATAAGCAGTTTTCATTAACTATTTATATTGTGCGCCGCCTAGGCGCAGTAGGATCTTCATCGCCTCATTCGTCTTGAGCCTTTTTATACGTAGTACATTGCATAAACCTGGGGTTACATTATCATAGTCATCAATTCAATGTTGCATCTGTCCCACAAATACCGGACCAAAAAAACCGTAAGGGTTAAGGTACGATCATGATCCTCCTTACCGCTAAAAAAAAAAAATAAAAAAAATAAATCAATGTTCCATCTTTAATCTAATCATGTGCCATTGAGAAAGATTAAAATTAGAAGAGAATTAAGAGGAAACTGATGAACAAGGATGGAGAAACAAAAGAAATAAGTGGGAGATTTTACTATTCTTTTGTATTTAGATGTACTGTGAGAAGAGATAAAATTTGATCTTTAGATTATATCGGAGTGGAATTAAAGAGACTTAACATCTCTGGTCAGCTATTATAGTATATTGCAATGTTAGTTACATGGGCGTGTGGAGTAGCATTGGCAAAATTATGAATTCCAATGATGATTTAGATTGGTTAATATCTTGGTTTTGCTCTTGGACAGGTTAAAGAGAGCTCATCCACTACTAAGCTCATGCTTGAAGGGATTGGGGATGTTTTCTCACCTAATTGACATAGATTTCATGGCTGATCTAATGAAGCACCTCAAGATTCTTGCTTCTGGCACTAATATGAATAATTCTGATAGTTCTTTGACAGTCTCTGAACAGATAGAATGCTGTATTGTTGCCTTTAAAGTTATGAGGAAGAATCTCGATGCTCTGAATGTGGATTTACAGGAGTTCTTTATCCAGCTTTACAATCTCATTATTGAGTATAGACCAGGAAGGTTAGTACTTTACATTCTTTCATGAATTACATGAAGTCAGCTTCTCATTTTATTATAATGCATCAATAGTGGCATGACCACTCGCATCGGAGGTTCATGTGCCAATTTCCCTTGTGGTGAGAACCATCCGTTGGTGGAACTATGCACATAAAGTTGACCATTCTTTTTTTGTATTGACTGAACATTTATGTTTTGCCTATATTTATACACCTTCGCACCAAGATACCTATTGGTAGACTAAAAACACATACTTCCTCTGTTCTTGTTACTCGTTCCATTCAACGTTTCATGCTGGTATGCATAATTTTCTCCTTGAATATCTTTGATTATATTTTAGTAAACTTTATAAAAGTTGATATTTTGAACATGTATATGAAGATTAGTTTTAAAAAAAACTGCTCATGACTGTGTATCCTTGTAATAGATCACTAAACATGGTCAAAGAAGAGCATTTGAATAGTGTAAAGATACAAATGGTTTAAGTAATGAAAATTTGAGAAACTATACTAATTTATCGTGTATTTACTTCAAACTTCAACTATGGTACTACATAGAAGTATATAAAAAGGTTTATATCAGCTAAATGTAATATACTTTCTTAGTATATAATTGAAATTCACAGTAGATTATAATGCATTATATATAGGTATATTGCTGTGTTGACCCAAAAATTAATGGTTAAATGAAAGAGAGTTGCATGATTTGAATTAAAACAAAATTGTCGATGATGAAAAGTTGGGTTGATGGTGTAAAAATGGTGTTCACGATTAAAATAGTTCCCATACACTCCCATCTATCCCACAAAGACCCACTCTCAGTTTCTTTGACTCCATGAAGATCTAATCACTTTTACGTTATTCATATTTTTGTGTATAAATTTCTTCCTACCCTTCATTGTCCCACTGCAGGGAACACTTTACACTTGTCACATTAGTATTTCATATTCTTTTCTCCTGTACTGAACTATTGAACTTGTCACATGAGCTCCACATTTTACACTCTCTGTGGATATGTGTCTGCTAAATAGATCTTTGTGGAGCAAGAGGAAATATTGCTGTGGGAGTGGGGAGATGATGAAGCATAGTTGAGGGATACTTACACATGTTGCCTTAGGAAGATTATTGCTGTGGGAGTGGGGAGATGATGAAGCATAGTTGAGGGATACTTACACATGTTGCCTTAGGAAGATTATCTCTTCGTAGATCTTATTTAATTTTTTATACTTTGTAATTAATTTAATATGAGACAAGTATTAAGGTAAAATTCTGGTAATATTTCAGCATATTCAAATAATGATTAACTAAATCCGAGCAATGATTGGGACTTCCCTAATGCCGAACTTTCATAACGGTTGATGCAGATGAAGCTAATGAGTAAATATTGTAACATTTTTACAGACACCAGGATGGAGAAACAGTTTCAAAACTCCTAACTGTAATGAGACATAAGAGGAAAGATTAGTATAACAACAACAACAAAGCCTTAGTCCCAAAATGATTTGGGGTCGGCTACCATGAATTGTCATAAGAAATCGTATGATGTAAAAAAGAACATAACAAGATATTCAGTTGAAAGAGTTTGAAAAAAGAGGAGTAAAGGGAGAAAAAAAGAGCATACAAGAAAAATAAAGGGAGTTTTAAAAGAGAACAAAAATAATATTCAAGAAAGTTTTAAAGAGGTGATTAAAACGTTTAGAGTAAAAAAAAACAAACGTTTGAGAAAAATTTAGCAAATGAAATCAATACAGTTCATAAAACACTAATGGGATATAATAGTAAGAGTAAATACTAAGATAAATTTAAAAAGTATATATATAATCATGATACGTCATTGACGTGAATTTTCTCCTTCCACACCCACCCTATCCAACAACATATTTTCCTCAATCCCCAAAATACTCATGTCACGCTCAATCACCCTCTTCCAAGTTTTCTTAGGTCTTCCCCTACCTCTCGCAATCCCAACACTTTGCAATTCTTCAAGCTTCCTTACCGGAACGTCACTTGGTCTCCTTCTTACATGGACAAACCATCTTAAACGATTCTCCCTCATCTTGTACTCAATCGATGTAACCCCTACTTTCTTCCTAATTATCTCATTAGTGCTTCTATAAAATAAAGAGCACAATAAGAGAGGTTATGAAGAGAGTAGAGCAAGAAAAATATGGCTAGTTCAAGGGTTTTTCGAACTTTCATGCTTAAGTTTACAATGCTTCAATCCAATGGGTTTGATTCAATAATTAGCAGGTTGTTTCGGGCTGCATTTTTAAATTAAAAACCTAAATATTTGGGTTGATTTCCTCTTTCAGGTTGACAGTAAATTTGCTATGTCCTAGGATCTAATTAAGTGTTTATTATTTTGAATAATTGGAAATTTTAATGAGTTTGAGATACCTTAAAATCTCTGTTATGTTAATGATGCAGGGATCAAGGTGAAATTTTGGCAGAAGCTTTAAAGATAATGCTATGTGATGATAGGCAACATGATATGCAAAGAGCTGCTGCCTTCATAAAGCGTTTAGCGTCTTCCTCCTTGTGCTTTGGTTCTCCAGAATCCATGGCTGGTTGGTTACTTTCCCATTGTTTTATCATGCAAGTTCCTGAATGTTTAGTTAATTATTGACTTTCATCTTTCCAGCACTCGTCACTGCCAAAAACCTTCTGCAAAAGAATTTCAAGTGCCGATACATGCTAGAAAATGATGTGGGAGGTGGCTCGGTATCAGGATCAGTTGCGGTATGCATACTTTTATTTCCAACAATTATGCTTAAAAATATGAAGAAATTGTTAAAAAAACTGTCGTATCTACATTAAAATCCTTTATTTGTTTTTGTTTCTAAGCAAAAGGAACACACTGGCACTACCAATGTTTCCCCTTTATGTTTCCCAGAAAAAATTTAATCACAAGAGAGAGGGAGTGCACCGTCTGAATAATTATTTCCTCTATTTGCATATAATTTAACTCCATTCATCCGTGTTAGCACTGTAATTTTCCAATATATTACAGAGATTATTGAATGCTTCTATACAGACTCTCCTTAGGCTAGGTGGGATTGTGGGGAGAAGACAGACTGTGTACGCTGCTTTATCCAATTATTGATGCAGCAACAAAGAAAATTTTATCAAATAACTCTGTATCTGTTACTCATGATGTGCTCAGTAACAGCAAAGAAACACTCATAGTTAATGGACTGTATTAATTTAGTTCAATGGACCAATAGATTGTCAGGGTAATTATTATTCATGTTGTCCTGCAGATATATCAGCCATATTCCTCTGATCCTCACCTGAGTGGTGCACTTGCTTCCGTCCTCTGGGAATTGAATCTGCTGTCCAAACATTATCATCCTATTATTTCAACCATGGCTTCAAGCATCTCCAAGATCAGTACTTCTTCGAATCAAATTTATATGCCGACTGTTTCTCCTCAGCAAGCTTATAAGGAGCTGCTATTGGAGAGTGAACAATATAGCATAAAGAGTGACATAAAGTTGAATAATAAACGAAAAAGAGGGAACAATAATCTGTTGGGAGATGATGAAACTTCATTAGAAGTTGATGAGGAAGCCTTGAGAGAGAAGCTTTCAGATCACTTTACTGTTGTTCATGATATAGTGGAGAATGAGAAACTGAGAAGGGAGCTGGGTCTTACTGCACTGTCCCTGCAATTGCATGAAGAGTACAAAAAGCATAAAAATAGTAAGCGGGAAAGATCAAAGCAAAAGAAGAGGAAACAATAGGCACCGAAGTATATTATTTTTGGTCTTCTTTTTGAATTTTTATTAGGAAAGATCAAATTTTTTGAGGTTGTATGATCTGAAATTTTCTCAGTTTGAGTACAGAACATTTCGGAAGGAATGTAGTTTGTTAATTTGCGTTGTGTTTATTTTCCTTTTATTTTTCTTGTGTGCGCAATAGTATGTCATTATATATGTTTGGGAAATTGGCAACTTGGCAAGATGTTATATCACTTATATGAAAGGCGAAGTATTGTGTATTACTTATTGTGGTTTATGACCATGGACTATGGTTCTTTAATCCTTTAGGTTTGGTGTTCTGGCGGCTCGTCTCTACCTGAATCCTATGAGAGCGTTGTCCCTTTAATTTTTGTTACGAGTAATTAACAGCGTTTGGTTAAGAATTTGTGGTCTGGTCATTTGTTAAAGCTGGGCACCTTGAGCCGATTGAAGTTTTTCTGTAATTTTTGTATAGCCAAATAGATGTAGATAAGAGTGAGAATTTTTTTTAGTAGAAAGAGAATTCTTTGATTGACCGAACACAGTGATTCAATGAAAGCTTCTTTTGATAAATTGATAAAATTGCCTTAAAAATAATAATAATAATAATAATAATAATAATAATAATAATAATAATAATAATAATAATAATAATAATAATAATAATAATAATACATTGGTAAATGCAGTACACACTACTTTATGTATTACTGGCTTTACTGCCACTTTGGAATGGTGGTTCCGTATTTGGCTGGGTGCAAATGGTTCAACTTGTTAGCGGTTTTGAAAATTAGCAGGTTGGTTTGTTATGGTTTAGTTGTATCTTGTATAGTTGTATGGCTTCAGTATGGGTTACTCTCTTTCTCTTACATTGATCCATAATCTCGAAAATATCAAAATAGTCTAGTACTCTAATCCACAACCTCGAAAATATTCAAAATAGTTTATGGCTTGTTTGACATTATTTTTTGTTTTCAATTTTTTTTATTTTTGAATAAAAAAACCAAAAACAGGAAATAAGAAAAAAAAAATGTTTTCACTATCCTGTTATCAGTTTTCAAAATTTGTTATAATTTTGATAAGTTTGACCAATTTTATTTTATTTTTTTATTTTTTTTTCCATTTATGACATCATATAATTTTTATAAAAGAAAAACAAAAATATCGAAAATCACATTGATACCAAACGAACTTTTAGTTATTTCTTGTATGGCTTCAATTTGGGTTCAATTATTATTTTTTTTTAAGAAAAAAATCACACGGGTTTCTCTAAAAATTCGAAATATTTTGCATTGATCCATAATCTTGAAAAAAAAACAAATTTAAAAAAAGATTTAACAAAAAGATTTTTTTTTATTTATTTATTTTTATTAAACACCAAAAAATAGATAAATAATTGTACGAAGTACAAAATACAAGCTTCCTTCTTTCAAAAAAAAGAAAATAAAAATACAAGCTTCCTCGAAAGAAAGGGCTATTCTTAGTCTTTAGGAGGATTTTTCTCCTTTAAAAGAAAAGGTTTTTCTTCTCTCTTTTGAGGGAGGATTTGTTTTTTTGTTTAATGGATTGTTGTAGAGTTGTTTCATGGGTTAAGATTTATGCGGGATCGAAAAAGAGGTTAATCTTTCGATTACAACCAGACGAATCAGGCAAAAATTTTCTTCATGACTACAACAGATCGATAGACCCCGTCATCGATAAAGGCTGTAAATCACAGCGACGTGAAATAGGGTATAAAGAATGTACGATTTGCAACAACGATCGTAGCTTTGTTGAAAGAATGTTTTTATTTGATTCAATTGTCATGTATATGTTTGATATAAATCTCTTTGTAGATGTTGTATGACGTTTTATTAATGAATCAATATTTGTTAAAAAAAAAAGTACAAAATACAAGTAATGCATTAAAAGACTCTATGTGAACAATGTAAAATTTCAAACATTGCAATTAAAAAATGAAGTATTACTAACTTTATGTAATGAATAACATATGTTACATCGATAAGTATAAAATAAATAAATAATCATACGAAGTACAAAATATGAGTAATATTTTAAAAGACTGTATATAAACAGTGTAAAATTTCAAACATTGCGATTAAAAAACAAATGAAGTATTACTAACTTTATGTAATAAATAACATATGTTACTTAATTTTAAAGATCAAACTCATTTAGTTAATGGATGTTTTAGCAAATTTTGGGGATATTTCGAATTTAAGGGTTAATCAAAATAAATCAACAGTTATTTTCCCAAGAAAAATGTCTCATAACATAAGAAAAGACTTAGTGCAAGAATTTAATTTCACCTTTTCAATCTCTTTTGGAAAATATGTAGGAGTTGATATTAATCCAAATAAGTTGAAAAAAGGAGACTTTTTCGGTTTTCTAGATAAAACTTTTGACAGAACTAAGGGTTGGCAGTCTAAGCTCCTAAATATGGCCGGAAGATGCACACTTTTTAAATCTGTTTTATCTTCCTTTCCGATTTATTTAATGCAAACAAGCCTTCTTCCATGTTCTATTTCGAAAGAGTTAGAGAAACAATGTAGGAAGTTCCTTTGGAATAAAGTTGACAGAACAAAATACACTTCCAGAATTAGTTGGAGTCATATTACAAAACCAATGGAAATTGGGGGGTTAGGTATTAGGAGACTCAAATTATGGAATATGTCATTCATAGCTAAGTTAGGATGGACTCTCCTTAACAATCCTTCCAAGCTTTGGGTAAGAATTTTTAATGAGAAGTATTTGAAAAAATCAACTTTCTTTGATTGCAATGCTAAAGCTTCCCACTCTCAAATATGGAAGGATACCTCGGGCTTAAGAATAGGAATTGGTAATGGTAAGACCACTTCCCTTTGGTACCACCATTGGATTAGCAATGCACCTTTATATACCCTTATTAACTGTGAAGTTCCTAACTCAATAGGGCATTGGAAGGTTGCAAACATAATAAAGAGTGGAAGTTGGTATTTAAATGACATAGAGCACCTTTTACCTTTATCAATTATTGACATGATTAAAGCTACTCCTTTTTCAAAAACTCAAAACATGGAAGACTTTATCATTTGGGATCTTAGTAAGTCAGGGAATTTTACTATAAAATCTGCTTATCATCACTTACTAAAGGATTCATGTTAACCTTCTACTGGATTGAACTCTTTGAAGGCCCTATGGAAAAATTCAAGCTCCATTTAAATATAGAATGTTTACATGGAATTGTGCACATGCTATTCTGCTAGTTGCTGAGATTATTATTTCTGTGTACATGCCCCTTATTTCTCCCACATGCTCAAGATGCAACCTCTAATCAGAATCTCATATTCATTTATTTAGAGATTGCTTCTCTTTGTGGAATGATATCTTTGCCAGAGTTTATCAATCATCCAATTTTGATTTTCATATTTTCAAAAATGCTAATTGGAAGGATTGGATGAATTATAACTTAAATTTGGATAAAAGGTGGAGATTAATTTTTGTGACAGGTTTATGGCATCTGTGGTCTCAAAGAAATACAATGGTTTTTGAGCAAAAAAAAACATATCCTCTCCTTCTCTTTTTACAAAGTTCTTACTTGATTATCAATTTAATTCAACTGTTTTACAGCATGCAAAAAAGGAGAAGGAATTAGCAGGGAGCAGTCAGCTAGCAAGGCTTGGGAAGCACCAAAGAAAGGGTATTTCAAGATAAATACAGATGGTGCCTGGTTAAACATAGCAGTTTCTGTTGGTGGAGGAGTCATCAGAAGATCAGATGGCACCTGGTATGTTAGGTTTTCATGCAAGTACGAAGCTATCTCTCCCAAAGCTACTGAACTTTTATGCACTAAATGACGACTTATCAATTGCTGAAGACTTGAGGATCAAAAAGGTTGAGATTGAAACTGGTGTTGAATCTCTTAGGACTATGTTGCTAACTTCAGGCCCTAACCCTCATCATGAGTTAGCAGCAGCTGTGTGTGATGTGGCTGCGATCTTGCGCAAGTTTGAAGTGGCTATTATCTCACATGTACCAAGGGAGAAAAATGTATTAGCTCATAAACTAGCAGCCTTTGGAAAAGATATGGCAGTGGGTTATAAAACCCACTACCTAGTGCTTGAGTGTATTCAAGCTATTTGTGAAGCTGATCTTCAAGGAGTGGCTGCTGCCTCTGCAGCAAGCAACTAAGCAAGTTAGTTTTTGCAGTCTTGGAAGGTTGTATCTTTTGGGTTAATATGGATGGTAAGGGTGTAACATCAGGGTAGTCAGCTTTTCGGTTGTATTAATGCCTATTTCATAGGTTTTGTTTTGCAAAGCACCAATTTTCAATGTAAAAATTATAAGCTACTTGTTGTAAATAACTTTAAGGCTTTAGCCTGTTGTTAATATAAATCTTGTTTTGTGTTAAAAAAAGGGTTAGCTTGTTAGCTTACCGAGTAAATTAATTCAATATTTTTTTTTTTTTTTGAGGAAACGTTAGTCGGGCTATAGTATTAAATTAAATCAAGTTCCGCCACAGTTGTGAAACTTTGGGGGAAATTGTCTAACCATACAAAAGTCGACTTATTAGTACTATGTCTTGCCACAAGGTGTGCAAGAGTATTACCCGCCCGACGAACATAATTGCAACTAAAAAACAAAAAGCTATCTTTCATTCTCTTAATATCCTCGTACAATAGCATCAAAGGAGAGTAGCCCTCTACATCTTGGACGATCTTTCGAGCCACAGAATATGCATCACACTCCAACTCTATGTGCATATATCCCAGCTGCCTACCCACTTGAACCCCTAACCTTGCAGCAACAACTTCAGCCATTGCCACCTCCCACATAGCCAAAATTCTCTTCGTTGCAGCAACAATAATTCTTCCAGCGTTTTCACTCAAAATCACACACCCTAACCCACCCATCTATCTGATCCTATATGTGCATCAGAATTTATTTTGATGTGTCCAGCCACAGGAGGATTCCAGCGATCACTCCTCATCCCACAAGCTGCTGACAATGGCTTAAAAACGCGTTAGCATATTCCATATAATCCCATAGCATCTTTGAATAGCTTGTAGCAACCTGTACGGATCATCAACAGGTTCTTGATGGGTCTTGGCATTTCTGCAGAACCACGCAGCCCAAATAAGCATACAAAAGTGACTAAACTCCTTCCTGTCAATAAGATCAGCAATCCAGCATAAGCGATGATAAAAAGATAATGCAAGAGCATCTTCAAGTAAGCCATTGTATTTGCTCAGAGACCAAATTTTAGCAGCATCAGTGCACTCAA